AATGGCCCCCCCCCCCCCCAGGAGCTCCGAAAGGAGCGTTCTGCTCTAGTATTCAATAATTTAACACGAAATTTCATTTGCTTAACGAGAAGAAGAAGGAGGAGGTTACATTTGATTTTAACATTTTACAATCTAAAAAATTGTCCTGTATATTGTATGGGCGTGTATATCTGTGACAAGTGATGCATATTAATTATATTATTAACTCTGCAGTAAAGTTGCGATTCAAGTTTGTTGGACAATAACGCACAACTTAAAAGGCCATGACAATGTCGTTATTAGTTCGTTTCAAACGACGACATTAGCAGGCGACAAGGAAATTTTCGCAAGAGACAACAGTTAATAAACTGACCCCCTATCGTAACACTTCCACATACATACAATTTAATATTCATTTTAATTTTGACGTAAATACGTCTATACGGAAGGGTCATTCGGCAAAACAGCGTTAGGAAAATGTGTAAGATCCATATCAACAATGTGTAAATATGGACCGACAATGGTCAGCTTGCGTGCATAACAATGCTTTACTCCTTTAGCTAAGAAACTAATTGTTATGTCATCTGTTTATTCGGCATTGTTGTGTTTAATTACTGCCGTCAACAATCCGCTTTCGTTATTGCGGAAAGAGCTGAGCTGTGAATCGATTGTAGAAGTGTGTCGTAGAGTAGATAATATTGTGATATTAAAAACATTTTATAATAAGGTCGAGAGAAATCTTATATAAGAATTAGCCGCGGTGGTCTACCGGTTAGAAAGCTGGCCTTGTAATCCTGGGGTCTCGGGTTCGATTCCCGGCGGTGCCCGAATTATAACTTGTGTTGGGCAAGGCCGTGGTCTAGGCAACACGGAGTTTTCCTCCGGGGGCTTCCCCGGTTTCTCCGTGGCATCCCAACAATCACTCCATTCACACACAGAAGAAGGCAATGGCAAACCACTTCTGGATCATCCGCCAAGAACGTATATGAACAGGTCCCAGTCCGAGAAAAGGATGGAAGGATCCTGTTCATATGGACCTGTCGTCAGACAGAACACTAAATAAACTAAGAGAAGAATTACTAAAAAAAATCTGTGAAACTGCTCTCCACTCTCTCCATTTTAGTTTTGATTCACTGCGGGAGGACATCGTGGTCTCTTACAATTGAACAAAGTTTGAGGTAAGGAAATCCTATTTATTATTATTCATCACATTTAATGTTTTCATCTGCATTTGTGAACTCGTGTAAGAGAATTAGACTAGTCTTCTATTGACGTAAATACGTCCATACGGAAGGGTCATTCGGCAAAACCGAAGATGTGTAATATCCAGCGCCGAATCACCTTTAAACGTTCATTCCTCAGGAATGGTAAAAGTAAGGGTAATGTAAAATGATCATTAAATAAGGGTCTTTAACAATCTGCAATGTATTTTATTGTAATTATAATTGTTTATAAATTTATTGTAATTTTAATGAACCAATGTGTACAATTTCCAATGCATCTGGCGCGTTAAGCGCCCGCCTCTCGAAAACCGTAAGAGATGGATCGGGACATATTGCGTACGAAATACGTATTACCTCTTGAGCTCTCCATATCTGTTTTCAGATCTTACATATCACAAATGGTTTAGGTTCTACAAACATTTATTTATACAAATAAGGGCGCAATCCACTCACGTCATTTCGGACTATTCTCAGCGTAAACAGGGATTATTTCCTTACACAGCGTTAACCAGTTGACATTTGTAATGGTGAAATGTTGTGTTTTCTTCGCGGTACGGACTGATTTATTAAATAGTATTTAGACGAGCTTCGGCTTCAACTTCTCTAATACAAAATTCAAAATTCCGTCTTCTCTGCCATCATCACACTAACGCCTTCACTCTTACTTTATCCTTAACAGAAGGACGAGCGGGCATTGCCTGGGGACCTTCTAGCTATAAGATGCTCTTTCTCCCCCCTAGATATCGAAGTGTCTCTCACTTCTCCCCCACCAATTTCCTCTTTCTCTCTCTCTCTCTCTTCGGCTTCAAAGGTCTAAATAGTAACTGAACAAGCAGTGACGTCATCCACCTATATGTAAAATGATCAGTAAATAAAGACCTTTAAATAATGAACCAGAAGTTCAAAAAAAAAATACCAAAAACTAATTCTGAACGTATGAGGGAATATAGAAATCGCAAGAAGCAATTATTGCAAGTTATCAAGCTAATATGTAAACTTCCTTTCATTGTATTTATTGCCTGAATATAATTTAAATACAAATAGCTATTTACGTCAGATTCTCACGAACCGTGGTTCCACTGTCAATTTTTTCATAAAGTCTACGTTTGATTTTCCAAACCTGTCATAATACCCGGCCATCTGACTAAAACTGTGTATGCATCTTTTATCTACAAAATTATGATTACAGCCCACTTCGTAGACTAAGGTATGGTATAGTGTATTGTATTTTACAGTGATATGTTCTACGTCCTTAGTTTAAGCCTATGAAAGATACACGGAATATAAATAAATTCTATTGTATTCTGTTAACTTAAAGCACAGATTATACAACTAAGAGCATACAGTACTCGTTTAGAGTCAACCACAGATAACGTGGTAAGTAACTGTGGTGTTTTGTATCTTACGTGGCTGAAGGTTAGATTTTTGTTAATCATTTTCTTAGTCTAAAATCGTTCAGTTTCGGAGAAAGATATTTAAATCATATCTAGCAGTATCTCTTTGAACACAAAACGGTAAGGAAACTAATTATATTTCTGTTGTGTTTTATTTGCCGAACTTGACCTTAAAATACTCAATGTTACAAATGAGAATAGTGAATTCGACTTTGCTTACTTCCATTCAGTCATGCCATATGGAATTATTTTCTGGGGAACACAACACAGCAAAGTATTTTCCATCCCAAAGAAAACCATAAGAATAACGACAGTAACTAAAAGCAGAGCCTCATGTAGGGAGATGTTTAAGAAATTTAATATTCTTCCACGAGCCAACGAATTCATGCTCTCATTAGCATCAGTTGTGAACATTGAAAAATTCCAAACTTCAGATATTCACAATATAAGTACATGATACGGATATAACCTTCATTTGCCAAACACTGACCTCAGTAATTATCAAAAAGGAGTGAACTATATTTGAATGAAGCTAATCAGTAATTCCCCCCCACTAGCAAACGTCAGAATCGCGATATAAAGAAGTTTAAACCACCACCAAAAGTATCTCCAAACTTCCACACCATAGAATTACTTCATTCAAAAGTTCTGTGATAATTACATGTAAGAAATAGTGGGTATGCTTTGTTGTGTAATTATTAATTTTGTAATTACTTGTGCTGTAATACTGTAGTAGTGTAAATCACAGCCCTGTGTAATTTATGCCTGTATTAGAAAGTTAAAATATTTGGGAACAACGATAACAAGTCAAAATGATACTCATGAGGAAGTTAGGAGGATACTAAATTCTGGAAATGCTTGCTACTTCTCAGTTCAAAATATTTTGTCTTCCATCTGATTTCTAAGAACCTAAAGATTAAAATATACAAAACAATAATTTTGCCTGTTGTTTTGTATGGGTGCAAAACATGGTCTCTCACTCAGAGGAAGGAACACAGATCGCATGTGTTCAGGATATTTGGGCCTAGGAGAGATGATGATGGGGCATGGAGAAAACTGCACAAGATGAGCTTAAAAATTTGTACTCTTTTCCCAGTATTGTCAAGGTGATTAGGTCAAGAAAAATGAGATGGATGGGGCATGTAGCATGCATGGATGGGGCAAGAGGTGTGCACCGGGTATTGGTCGGGAAGCCTGAGGGGAAGAGACCGCTGGGGAGACCTAGACGTAGATGGGAGGATAATCTCAGGCGGGATCTATGGGAGATAGGAGTTGAAGGAGACTGGAATTTGTTGGCCCAGGACAGGGTTTGGTGGAGGGCTTTGGTTAATTCGGTGATGAACCTTCAGGTTCGGTAAGCCATCTAGTTAGTAGAAAGTATTGTATTCGTGCTGTGACATGTTCTCTCCCCTTAGCTTAGGCTTATGAAAGATCTATGGAATGTCAATGTTCTATTCTGTAGTAGTATTGAGTGACCTGACGATAATGGATTCGTTAATTTTTGGAACTACAGTATTACAGAAAAATAATTATGATAACCACCACCATTATTACTTACATGTATTTATAAATTCTTCTACTGAGTAGAAGGAGTAAGATAGGAGATACTCTTTTACTGCTGGCTTAAACACTTTTTAAAGGTATGATTTTATCTTTAAATAGGATAGCAAATAAGGGCATGTAGCATATTAGGAGAATGAGAAAGTTGCAGCATCACCACCAGCAAGATATTCTTCAAACAGTATTTTTATGTTTTGATTGATACTCTTGAAGTTTAAGACCAAAGAATATCTTGTACATTTCATAACATATATATAGAAAGAATTTTTAAATCATTAACACATAAACGAGGCAGTGTTTGATATGTGTCTGTGAAGTGTTTCATATAAAATTGAATGTTTATTCTTATCAAGGAATGACATGAAGTATTTCTTTTACGGGTGTGCAAAGGGTAACAAGAAAGAGGCCAAGCACTTTGTTAAATTGTCATTCCCATGTGTGGAGTGGAAGCAACGGAATTATGATGTGACTTTAGAAATTCCAGAAAGGAGGTTTTTCTAGACCCATATTAATATGAACTTTTATCATTGTTATGGTGTGTAGAACTTACCCTTGAATTTGTTTCAGAACTTAGAATATGTGCCTGCTAAAAAGAAAATTTATATTTGTTTATTTAGGTTCAACACTTTTCTACAGTATCAGGATGAGGAGATCTAATGGAAGTGGCCACTACTACGAACCACTTCCACAGTACGCTGGTGGAGAAACATTGGAACAACAGAATGACGCAATGGCAGATGAGCTAAAAGACAAGGTGCATAAGCTGAAATCACTATCATTAGATATTGGCGATGAAGTGAAATATCAAGACAGATTATTGCGTGAAATGGACGATGACTTTGAGAAGACTGGTGGTTTCCTAGGCAATACCATAAACAGAGTGTTGCGAATTTCAAAAGGCAGGCATAATTATTATGTATTTTATCTCCTTATATTTTCAGTTGTCATCTTTATTATATTGTACATAGTTATTAAATTTAGATAGTGACCTGAAAGTATGCAATGAGAGACTGATGTTATTGTTCTTTGTATAATATCGGAATTTTGACACTTGAATCTTTCTGTTGTGACAGTTTTGTTATCTTACACCACAACAAAATAAAGTGTACTTTGCACGTTATGAAGTTTTAATGGATGATATTTTTTGCATTTAGATTTTGAAAATTACTCATGTGTACAAAAAACATGATTAGTTGATGGAGAAGACCAAGATGTTTCCTTCTTTGTCTACCCATTTTACACTTGACTGATAGATCATTAATTATCAAAGCATTGAGCTGCTGGAGTTTTATCATTTCCATGTGGAACAATTTGGAGGAAGTGCATCTTCAATAGTCAATAGGATTCAAAAAAGCTTTTCTCAGTAAATGTTATGTCATAGACACAACCCATAAAGTGTCTCATGAATAGAGTTTATTTGAATTTGAAATTTGGAGTGAGCAACAAGTTGAATGTTCATCATTTAGCCATTTTCAGAGAAACTAAATCTGTGAAATCCAGTTAAGTTATTAATTTTCTCAAACAAATTTAATTTATCCAGTAACTATTTAATATTAATTCCTTTGTTTTTTTACAAAATAAATTTTATTTTTGAAAGTGAGACTTTCTGACTAATAAGTTAAACTTAATAAATCTGTTAATATTCTAACCAAAATTTATATGTGCATCCTCTAACAGAGCAGTGAGTGACTGACTTAATTTCATCCTGCAAATAAATTTAGTGTCAATTATCTTTAAAACAGAATGGAATTGTAAAGCGGTATTTAAAGCATCAATGTTGTAAAATACTGGTGGATTTCCAGTCTTTCACGTTTAAAAACCAACTGTGCTCCTCCCATTCTCAAATGTGAATAAATAAATAAATAAATAAATAAAGAAAATGCATGATTCAGGACCCAAGAAATCAATTTTATGGCTAAATAAATAAAGAAAGAAAGAAAGAAAATGCATGATTCTATACCCATTACATGCTTGTTATTATAAAAAAATACTGGGAATCAGTCCTGGGTTGCTGCACCATAGCAAACATGCTTCCAGCTGACTTAACATAATCAGTATAAGGGTAAGTACTTATATTAGGCTTATGAAGTAACAGTGAAGACTGCGAAAAATAAACATTGGAGTGTCATCACCTAATATTTTGGTAAAGAAGTCAAAGGGTCCAACACTGCTATGCTGCAAAACCAGAGCCCCTTTGTATCTAAATATTGATAACCGATGGGCAATGTTTAGCCATTGGGACAAATTTGGTCATCAGGATGTTGAAAGAAGGACATCTTAGTAATGACATCAGATGTCAAGTCTTCCATATGGTTTTGTATTTTTAGGAATTCCACAGCATACAGAAACCCAAATCCTTTGACATATTTTGAAAAAAAAATTTGTAACAGAAAACAATGACAAAATAGGACTGGCAAATTAGATCAAGGTCTTACATAACTCACATTTATCTCATTGAACACAGGCATGTACTATATCAATTTTTCCAACAAATAATTTGATAAAATACATATATAATGGTGTGATATATTTCTATAATAGAGTTTTAAGAGATTTGACAAGTCTGATGCACAGAATTAACATCTCATGACTGCTGTAAGAAACATTTTTTTCAATAATGAAAACTAATGACATGAGAGTGCACAATCTTTTGAGACTACTTCTGGAAGGTGTATGTAAAATAAAATTTCAATAAATTCCAGAAAACTTAAATTCTAAGCCTGGCAAGCCCCTCTACATAGACATAAGTAAGCGGCAATGTAATTAACCACAACCCAGAACTTCCTGTTATCTGTTTATTTATATTTCCATTCCTAGTTAATCCTGATTACTGAGTCTCTTCTGTATTAATAACCACAATGTTACATGGGGATTTGTAGTCTATGAAAAATTCTTAAACAGCAGACTCTAGTATCAATAAAAACTGAATAATACACACAGTACGTTTCTCTGGTTCTATATGATTTATTGGCTCTGTTGAAAATTAGAAGTTATTGTTTGACAGCAGCGTTGGCTGCTATACTTGGGCTGTTGATAACTTCTCCCAAACTGTCCAGAAGTTCTTTTCTATATGCATCAAAGTCTCCTTCTACCTCATTAATGCTTTGCTCTTCTATTACCCATAATGTGCAATCAGTTTCTCGTATCAGCCGCTCATCGTGGGAAACTATTATCACACCTATTAAAAAAAAGAGTATAAATTAAATAACTGCATTGCAAACAACAACAAACTTACAACTTTTTCTTAATTATGATCAGACTTTCATAAATTAAATTATACTCAAACATTACAATCCAATCAAAACAAAATATGTACATTAACCCTCTGACTGCAGCAAGTGAGACAGGGGAACGTTCTATTAGGACAGCAACAATTCAATTTTTATTTTATGTAATTCATATATGAGAAGTGGTACTGGAAAAGTTATGAGAATGCTGTAATGATGCCATTAATAGACTTTTTCCAGCTGGGTGGTGATAACAGTATACTTTTTGTAT